AATGTTTTTAATTTTTTATATTTTATTAAAGTGATATAGTTTTAAAAAAATTATAATTTTTAAAAAGCAAAGTAAATAAATACTAATTTCAATTAATTTTTATGTAGTTTATGCAGATAATTTTCTAATTTGTATGTTATATCAATAGTGATTGTCTTCTCAAGAAGACAACATACTTGATAAATCATTAATATAAAATTAATAGATGTAAGTATTTCATAAAATTTTCATTAGTGTAAATTGATCCTGCTTCAAATATAATTAGTAGTTAATATTGAATGAGTATATATATTTTTGCTTTAGAAAATTAAAATTTAAAATATATGATATTTAAAATATTAAAGTATTAGTAAAATTATTTAAATATTTTTAATAAATTTTTTAGTATATTAATTTATTAAAAGTATTTAAATCTTTTAATTATTATTTTTTAATATTTAAATTATTAAAATATCTTAATTTTTTATAATCTCTTATTTTTTTTATAATGTGGATATATTTATTCTTTTAATTAGTTTAAATTTCAAACTATAAACTACTAATCACAAACTTCTATATACTAAACACATCCTTAGAATTTAAGAATAACTCTTTTTTTTGGGCGGCATTTATGTTAATTGAATTATAAAACTTTCAGTTAAAATAAAAAGAAATTATGAGAAATGGTAAACTAATACTATCTATTTCTATTAATTACAAGTATTTTTAGATATAAATTGAATATAATCTATATTTATTACTTAATTTAAAAATTTGTAGATATGATGCCACGGATCGGTATTAGGTAGGCAAAATGATTATCCACTAAATTACTCTAAAGAAAAAGATCCCGCGGAACCGACTATCATCTTTTTGCTTTTCGAAGTCTTGACGAGGCGAGTTATTTTTAAAAGACTTGGAAGTCTTTTTGGTCTTAAGTCAACTTAATTAATTAGGACCAAGCGTTCTTATATAAAATTTATGTAACAATAAAATTATTCTTAAAATTCTTAAATAAACACTCAATAAGTTTCTTTTTTTTTAAAAAAAAAACATCAATAAAAATAACTAATTGGTTTAAGATTTGAACAAGTGAAACTTAAGGTTATTACAAGGTGAATCGTAATCTTGACTGTTGTAACAACAAAATTATTCTTAAAATTCTTAAATAAACACTCAATAAGTTTCTTTTTTTTTAAAAAAAAAACATCAATAAAAATAACTAATTGGTTTAAAATTTTTAAGATAAATACTCATTGGACTTTTAAAAAAAATCATCAATAAATCCCCAATGAATTTAAAATTTTCAAATAAATACCTAGCTTAATGAACTAAGAATTAATATAGGAAAATGATACATACACCCTTCAAAGTTACACACTCCATTACATATTGATGGTTTTCATCAATGTGCTATTAAGATTGGCAGTTTCCGTTACTTATGCCATTAAAAATGACAGTTTTCATTATTATTTACCATTAAAACTAACGATTTCTGTCAATTTTAACGGTACACTAACGGAAATCGTCAGTGTGTAGTGGAGTGTATAACTTTTTGAGGGTGTATGTATCAGTGTCCATTAATATAATAGGAAAAAATCTCTAAATACTATGAGTAGAATCATTCAATCATAAATTTATTAATAATATTAGGAAATAAATCTAAAATACTCCACTTAATTTATAAATATTTATAATTATATACTAATGAGATTGTCGATCCCACAATTATAGAATATTAGGACTATTAAAATTCAAGTAAATATTATAACTATATAAATACCCATTGTACAACTGTATAAGCCCTCAATTAATATTAGGATGTGCGTCCCACAAATAATATGCTACATATTCTTGGGACCCACACTTAATTATAGAATAATGACTACTACAATTCAA